GAGTACTAATTATAACTAAGAGTTATATTAATAACTAATAATTGTTGTGTTATTTTATTATCTAAAATTATGGCACCCCTCAAGTGCCACAGTTTTAGTATCACTTGGTTCTGTGTTAAAATTCTGCATAGAAAATCTCTGCCTAAATTATTATTAATTAGTTCATTAATTAGTTTATTTTCTTTTTCAAAAATAGAATTGAGTTTGTAATATAGTACAAAATGAGCTGAAGTGGTTAAATGTAAAATCTTTGGTGAGCCAATTTTTCACCTGATTAATTGTTGGAATAATCAATACAACAATAATTAGTTGCAGCCATGCTTTAGTGACTTTTACCATTTTAATGTGATAGACCAACTCAAAGTAGAGCTTAATTGTGAAGTGCAAAGAAATAGAGCGTAATATTGTTTTTTGAAACAGGGTTTAAAAATGAACTTGTCATTGGTATTCCAACCCCTTTACTCTGCTGTCCATTAATAAAGTCCACTGGCAGAAACTTCACTAAAGTTGTAATTAGAAAATGATGAATTGGGAATTTCTCGACAGTCCCAACCTTACAATCCAATATGGCGGCCCTGCATATTAAAGTAGCAGCTTACTAGTAGAATAGTGGCTGTAACACTTCAGAAACACCAAAGTGAGACAATATGGGATATTTCTATTCTATTCTACTCTGAATGGGATTCCAGTAAGTAAAGTGAGTCCAAATATTTTATAGATATTGTGTTTTGCTGATCCGTATAGAGTTAATGGGGAGTGGACCTGTGGCTCTAGCTATCAAATTATGGGCAAGAATATTTTTTCATACACTGGTTTGTGAATAAAACTGTAGTTCTGATGTTGACGTTAGAAAAACAGTTTTTTCTATTTATATTTTCATAATTGTCCTTGCAATGGCGGAAAAAAGCCCTCCTCGCCCCTAAACATTCTCGGCTGCAGAGAAACCTCTGAGTTTAACTTGAACAGGCTGCTAAAGGCCCGGTTCTACAGCTGGTCTGAGTCGGTCCCACCGACAGATAGAAACAATGTCTGTCTTTATATCAGACATCCTGATGTAAGACACGGTACCGCCTGTCAGGTGAGATTCCATAAATCAGGTTTGCTAATGGAACAATTTTGCAAAAACAACATTGTCAGACCACAATACCATCACGTACTCTGAGCTTTTGACATAAAAGAATTTGTTAAACCTTAGGGCTTATTCCATCACACTATAATTATCAAAACTATTTGTTCTTATCTGTTAACAGATACTGACCCTTGCTATGTTATGTGTTGTGAGGCATTGTTCCACAGGAAACTCATCTGACTGGTTCTGCAGAATCTCTCTGCAAACATGAGCAATATTAATGTGGTCAAATGAGTAAAATAAGTAAATGAAATTGTTAAAAGAAATAATAACACAATTTTTACTTCACAAGGTTTATACCTATGGTGTGTGTTACAATTAAACCATTTCTGGGGGCCCCTGAATGTCTGGAGGCCCCTACCTAGCAGCAGCTACTGAGTTTTCTTTGCCTTGATGTCTCAGTCTTGTAATTCTAGATCTCAGATGTGCTAACATCAATAAATTATACAGAAAATCTTACATCAGGACTCACAACATTACAACCTGTAGAGCCATTTCCCCCTCAGTCCAGATAAACACACTTTCTATAGAGCTGCAAAAGCTGCATGACCCTTGGAAAAAAGATAACCTGGCAACTTTCAGAAATGCATACCAACAGGCATTTGTTGTGTGTTTTTTAAAGAATTACCTTTTTAGTTTTATTTTCAGGTTTTCAAATATAGAAAAACTTTAAGGTTTGACAAAAAAGGAAATACATGCATTTTCTGAAATGGAATGTTCCAGAGGGCTGCACGGTGGCGCAGTGGGTAGCGCTGTTGCCTTCCCGGCCCGGGGTCTTTCTGCACGGAGTTTGCATGTTCTCCCTGTGCATGCGTGGGTTCTCTCCGGGTTCTCCAGCTTCCTCCCACAGTCCAAAAACATGACTGTCAGTTTAATTGGCCTTCCCAAATTCTCCCTAGGTGTGAATGTGTGTGTGCATGGTTGTTTGTTCTGTTTGCCTCTCTGTGTTGCCCTGCGACAGTCGGGCGACCTGTCCAGGGTGACCCCGCCTGTCGCCGGGAACGCAGCTGGAGATAGGCACCAGCACCTCCCGACCCCGTTAGGGAGAAGGGTGACCAGAAAATGGATGGACGGATGGAATGTTCCAGATTAGTTGAAAACAATGTCAAGAAATAAATGGGTCAATTTTGTAAAACAAAGACAAGAATGACAAAAAAAAAAATCCAAATGCTGTGTTGTTAGAATGGCATTTTTGTCTCAAACCACAGAAAATAACATTTTTATGTTCTTACAAAATTTTGGTGTTTAAAACAATAAATAAAAAAAAACTAAAGTGATGTCTGGTGATGACCTCACACAGCTCCTGTCTGTCCTGCTGCAGGTGGAGGTGATTGAGGGATGCCTGCAGTGTCCTGAATCGGGTCGAGAGTTCCCGATCTCCAAGGGAATCCCCAACATGCTGCTGAACGAAGACGAGGCCTAGACGGCTCAAACTTCCACCAGACGGGACTGTGTTGTTTTCAGAGACGAGCTGGACTCTGGTTTGAGTCGCCTCCATGGGAGAAAAGGCCGCATCCTTTGGTTGGTTGTAGTAATGACGTTTTAAGCGGCTCCTGCTGCCGGCGGATGGAAAAAATGAGAAGAATAATGGATGGAAATGTTCCCTGAGAGTGACCCCCCGACCCCAGTGGTTTGATCTGTATTTATTTTTGTAACTGTTTCAGCTTTTCTATCCTATACTACTCTGAATGGGCTTCCAATAAGTAAAGTGAGTGCAACTTCTTCAACAGGTTCAACCAGTCTGTGCCCCCCCAACCCTCTCTCTCACTGCAGCCACCTCTGCTCCTTACCACACACCTCCCCACAGACAACAAAACACTGACAACCCGCCCCCACACACCTCAGCACAACCTCCACCCCACATCACCACAGACCAGGTCAGAGAACAGCTGAGGAAGCTCAAGCCCAGGAAAGCAGCAGGGCTGGACCAGGTGTGTCCAAGGCTGCTGAAGACCTGCGCTGCTGAACTGGGAGAGCCACTACAGCGGATCTTCAACCTCAGCCTGCAGCTAAGGGAAGTGCCCACCCTCTGGAAGACATCCTGCATCGTCCCAGTGCCCAAGAAGAACAGGCCCAGCGAGCTGAATGACTTTCGGCCCGTGGCACTCACTTCACACCTGATGAAGACGTTGGAGCGGCTCTTCCTCTGCCTCCTCAGACCTCAGGTGGAACACGCTCAGGACCTCCTGCAATTCGCCTACCAGGCAGATGTTGGTGTGGAGGATGCCATCCTCTACCTGCTGCACCGGGCCCACTCCCACCTGGATAAGGGCAGTGGCACAGTGAGGATCCTTTTCTTGGACTTCTCCAGTGCCTTTAATACAATCCAGGCCCTTCTGCTCCAGGACAAACTAAATAGCATGGGAGTGGACCAGCACCTGGTCACCTGGATCCATAGTTACCTCACCAACAGGCTGCAGTATGTCAGGCTGAAGGACACCGTGTCTGACACTGTGGTCAGCTGCACAGGAGCCCCTCAGGGCACAGTGCTGGCCCCTCTTCTCTTCACCCTGTACTCCTCTGACTTCCACTACAACTCGGAGCTGTGTCACATACAGAAGTATGCTGATGACACAGCCATAGTCGGATGTATCAGGGACGACGGAGAGGAGGAATATCGCTGTCTGGTGAGGGACTTTGCTCTCTGGTGCCACACAAACCACCTGGAACTCAACACCTCTAAGACGAAGGAGCTGGTTATAGACTTTGGGAGGTCCAGACCAATGCCGAGACCAGTCTTACTAGAGGGAACGGAGGTTGAGTCGTGGCTCCTACAAGTACCTCGGGCTGTGGCTGGACAGTAAACTGGATTGGTCAAAACACACCAGCCACCTGTACGGGGAGGTGCAGAGCAGGATGTACTTCCTGAGGAGACTGCGGTCCTTTAACATTTGCAGCAAACTGCTGTGGATGTTCTACCAGTCAGTGATCGCCAGTGTCCTCTTCTACACCGTGGTGTGCTGGGGAGGCAGCACATCCAAGAAGGACACGTCCAGACTGGACAAACTGATCAGGCGTGCCGGCTCTGTGGTCGGCATGAAGTTGGACTCTCTGGTGACGGTGGCAGAGGCGAGGACACTGAACAAACTGCTGGACATCATGGACGATAGCAGCCACCCTCTACACGTCATCAGCAGCCAGAGGAGCCTGTTCAGTGACAAACTGCTGCTTCCCAAGTGCCGGACCAATAGATTCAAGAACTCCTTTGTCCCCCACGCCTTCAGACTGTACAACTCCTCACTGGGGGGTCGGAGGTGACACAGGACAGAGGGAAGAAGGAGTAGTTTTTCTACAAATGTGAACTCCATATTTATCAGGCCAAACCATACAGTGCAAATACCATATCACTGGTCAATCTATCCACCAAATTGCTATAATTTCCTTTTGTGTTGTATTTATATTCTTTGTTTTGTATTTATATTCTTATTATGTTTACTGTGTACCTTGTATTTAATTTGTATTTTTTTGTATTCTTTTGTGTATGCTTACTGTGTGCCACATTTTTGCCTGTGAGCTGCTGGTAACTATAATTTCCTGAGGGAGTCTTCCCAAGGGATCAATAAAGTCAAGTCTAAGTCTCTAAGTCTATTTATCATGAGCTAAATGGAGTTTCCTTCTTGTGTTTTGCTGACCCGTATAGAGTTAATAGCCTGGTCCCTGGTAGTAAACCTGCGGTCAGCCTTAACGTTGGTCAGGGATTATGGTGCAATCCTGGCACACGGGACGTTTACCTGCTGAGCTGCATTTCTGAAGGGTAAATATTGCAAAATGTGCATCTCTGTGAGCCTCCAGTGAGAGGATTACTACTGCCTGCATAATGACACACACTCCCTTCACCCTGGTGGCATCCGCCCCACTAAACCTCCTCCTCCTCATCCTCTTATTTACCCTGAGAGGCTCTCTGTTTGGGGCTCTGTGTCTCTCTGAGGATCTGCAGGATAATGCTCTCACGTCCTCCGCCAGCTCTCTGTGTTTTTACCAGACATACCTCCCTTTTTAAGAGGAAGATTTCCACATTCACTGCAAGATTTCTTTCAGTTTCCGGAAGTTTGCTGCAAAGGGATTTGTTTCATGTTTCTCTGCTTCGTGTGTTTTTATTTTATTCCCCATGCTTCTTGCTCATGTGAGGGACAGTAAAGGACTTTCCGTGTTTGTTCCAACATAAATCAGACGTGTTTTTTCACAGCGCATTCAGCCTCGTCACCTCAATCGGGGGATGAGAGGACCTTATTTGGCCTTTTCGGGACTGTAGTTGCATTTTGTGGAAGCGGATATGGGCCAGTTCTCTGCTCCACAGGCGCGTCTTTCAGAGGCGCCGGAGCCGCGCCGCCTCGGATGAAGTGCGGCCGCTGCAGGTTTTTCTGTGTGGAGGATTTGCGACATGGGCTGAGCTCCTGCAACGACTCTGCGTTGGTCTCCTGAAAGCTGCTCAAATATGCGAGGATGGACGGCGGGAAGCGGAGACTGGTGAAGGTTTAATTTCTCACGCACAGAAACAACTGGACGTTAATTCAAGTTTAGTCAGAAAGACGAATCCCTCGGTGATTTAGTTTCTTTTAATCTTTTTCTTAAAGTGATGACAATGCCTCTTTTATTTCTAATATATGAAGGGCGCATGTACAACTTAGTGCGAGCAGAGAGGAAACGTCGGTTATCTGTTTAATGTTAGAACAGATTCGAGGTGGAAAAAGTTGAGACTGTTCGCACTTTTGGATCACGTTTCCTGCGCGTTTGGTTCGGAGCCGCAGCCTCACCGTTCAGGGAGATCGCTTCTTCCCTCATCCCCTCCAGCCATGTGGCTCCCCTTCCTCGCCCTCCTGCTCCCTCTGCGGCTCTCCGAGGGCATCAACACGTGTCAGTCCATCGACCTGGACGCGCAGAAGTCGCGGCGCATCGAGGCGGTGCGCGGCCAGATCCTCAGCAAGCTGCGCATCCGCAGCCCGCCGGAGGACGACGACGACCCGCCGTCGGGCTCCGTGCCGCCCGAGGTCATGCTGCTTTACAACAGCACGCGGGAGGTGCTGAGGGAGCGCACGCGGATGGCCGAGTCCGCGTGCGAGCGCGAGAGCAGCGAGGAGGATTATTATGCCAAAGAGGTGCAGAGGATCGACATGCAGCCCCCGCGCACCGACTCCAGTAAGTGTCAGGAGGTGAACAGGCTGCGCATTCAGTGTGGTTTGGTGCCAGGATGCTTTAATGCACCAAAACATTCTGTTTTAATAATTAGAAACCATTTTTTTATTGGACTTGCCCTCCAGGGTGAACACGTGTGTCTGGACTTGGAGGGGGAAAAAAGACAGAAGATTAATAACTAAAATGTATCAGTGACTCATTTTCTGAGAGAAAAGCACAGGGGCAATTTAATTCATAGCATTTAAAGAAACAGAAGATTATGACTTTAAACACAGTTATAGAAATCAAATGTCTATCACTTGGACAGTAGCTTCACTTCCCAACCTGAGACACTTTATGTATTTCGGCTTTGTGAAGTAAAAAAAGACGCGAAACGTAAATCACCTCGTATTTTTATGTCATTTCATTTTTGTTTTAAATCAATATTTTATCAGCTGATAAATTATATTTCTCCCAACATTAAATCGACCCGTCAGAATGTAAACACCGTAAATTCCTCATTTGGTGTTAATTGATGTGATTTACACTTTATTTCCCTGGACAGTCTATTAGATTCCCAGTCTATTAGATTCCCAGTCTAATAGATTCCCAGTCTAATAGATTCCCAGGTGATTCTCTGTGGTTATTTCCAGCTGCCAGATTTTTGGGCTTCAGATCATTTACACCAGATTCCCACTAGGTGTCAGTATATGGAGTGAATTCCAGTGAGGGAAGGAAACATAATGACTATTGAAGGGTTAAACCTAAAGTGGCTTACTGTTTAAAACTGTTAAACCATCTGCGATCTCCATATTCTTTACTTTCATTTTTCCCAAAAAATCCCTGGAGAAATGTTGATATTGCATCACTGTTTGGTGCATGAAGTTTGGCATTGAAATGATTCATTACAGAGAAACATAGATCAGAGTTGTAACCCCCCCACAAAATTATCAAACAACGAAAAACACTTTTATTTTCAAGGGCTAAATAATTCTTATTTTGTGACTAATGGTTTGATTTTATTCTTGAGAGTCCAAATTATTTAAATAAGCAACTAATTTAGTAATCAAATAATCTTTATTTTAATTACAAGCCTTGAATTTCTTATTTTGTTATTATTTTATGTTAGTTTAGATGAGAAAGTAAAAAAATCTTTAGAAGAATGCAGGTTCTTCTTTATGTGTTTTATCACTTTCAAAATAAGAAAGTCTGGTTTGAATGGTTTGTGTGAGCTGTACTTTAAAAATCAATGTTTAAACTTTATTCTGCCAAATTTAAAACCTCCTCATCATATGCAGCGTTCCTGGTTTTCATAGTGACAAACGTCTACAATCCCTATCGGACTCAAATCCGTCTCTGCTTCTGATTGGTCAAACCATCAGAGGAACAACATGGCTTCAACACCAAACAGGAAGTTATTTGTAATTTCTTTTTTACAACCAAGAGCAAAACTAATCTCAATATTTTTATACTTTAAACTATTTTCATTCAACCAAGAAGCCATTTTCTGACTCAGAAAAAGAGAAAGACATTTCTCACAACACAAGAAGATAACATAAAAGGAGTAAGAACTTTGAAAAAATTTGTTTTTAAGATTGAAAATTGCTTAATCCCTCTATAATCTTTCTTAAAATGAAAGAAATCAAATTATACTTTCAAAGCATCTCTTTGCACGTCTCCACTTGCATTTTTAATGATTTTTCTATGCTGATGAGCTCTGAGTCATTTCCAAGAAAATGCCTGGGAGCTTCAGTCATGTTCTTCCACCTGCCTGTGGCGTGTTGCTTAAAAAATCAGTCAATCAAAGGACTAATCAGGTTTAGAAAAAAACTCTATCTGATGAACAGTATCTGAACGTCATGTTGTTTTTATGAAGCTGGAAAGAAATGTGCTAAAGACCCGGCAGAATCATCAGCCAATCTTCTTTCTGCTTTCAGTAGCATTCACTGATTAAAATTGTCCTTAAGTTATAAATTATTTTAGTTAGTAATAAAAACAGATTGTACAATAACAGGTTTGTTTTTTGCACAAATGATGACAAGTGAATCCTTTCCACCAAAAAGTAAATAAATATGAAAAAAACTAATACCTAATTTTTGTTTTTTTGCAAATAGATTTGAAGTTTCTGAAAATCTCAAACTATATGGTTTTTACAATTGTCATCTTAAACTTTAAGTAGGAGCTATAAAATATTGTGCATGATTTTTGCAAATGGACAGTAGATATGCATGGATGTGTAGTAATTGATTAGTCTTACGATCAATTAGTAAATCAAATACAAAAATTCACAACATTCTGCATATTTTTAGCTCATTTTTATACAATATTAGAAATACATTAAAAATGCAAGTAAACAAGTGATTCAAATAATTTTTTTGAAATAAAGAAATAAACATTTTATTGTCTAAAATGCAATAACATAGTATTCCTTTAGTGCACTCTTGATCATTTGTAGCAAAGGATGCATCTGCTGCCAGAAAAATACTTCAAATACTAACATGTGAAAAGCTGAGTGCTTTCTGATGTGTCGGGATGATCTGTTTAATTGGTGGATTAATTGAATAACAATTGGATGGGAAAAGGATCTTAATTGGATCACTTCTGGATTATTGTATTTTTAAATGTAGAGGCTGATAGAGGCTTTATTCCTCTAACAGGAATAAAGCTTACCTCAGAGTGGGATTGCTTCCTTTTATGAAAGTTTTTGGCACATTAAAAGTGTGGTTGTTTAAGATGGGGTGTCCCAATGTGCTGCGCTGCTGCAGAGGAACCAGTTAGCAAGTCTTTTGTGGTGGCAGCGGGTTTTGGTTTAACAGACCTGTTGCAGATTGAAGGGTGATTCAGCTGGGTATTATGTAATTACATAACTGGATGATTTTTTTATGCACTCTAACCATCAATCATCCGTACGTTATACATAAAACCCAACACTTTAAGCCTGTAATTTAGCCTGAAGACTCTCATCAGTAGTAATTATGTCCGAGACAATGCATCAGTCCCACAGTCTGAAGACTTGACCTTTAGTCATAGTTCTGGATTTCTTTCCCGTCCAGATGCTGTGCAGCCGGCGGCACCGAACCTCTACTACCGAGTGGTCCACTTTGACGTCAGGGATGTGGATCTGATCAACAGCACCCTGGTCAAGGCTGAGTTCAGGATCTTCAGAGCTCCCAACCCACTGGCTCGGGCCTCAGAGCAAAGAGTGGAGCTCTACCAGGTACAGCTTTTGTTAGGCTCACATGTTTCATGTCTAAGGTTAAAATCTAATTTCAAGTTATAGAGCTGAACAAATTGTTACATTTCTCCTCCCTGAGTGTAATGATTGTGCAGAATGTTCTGCTGTGAGCATTTTGTTTACATCTATTAAAGATAAAGAAGTCTGCAATAGACAATTTATGGCTGAATTATTTTAAATTAAAACCTTTTACACTTTATGAAGGAGTGACAAACGACCAAATGAAAAAACTCAACACTTTTTGTTGCTGACAATCCTGGAGGGCTGAGTTTATCTAAGACTGTAGCTGCTAAACAGACCAGAGGAGAGAAGGTCGCTGGTTATGAAGTTATGAAATAAGGACATTTTCAAGCTGCTGGTAGGTAGGGGCCTCCAGAAATGATTTAATTGTAACACAGACCATATATCCAAACCTTGTGAAGTTATTATTTCTTTTAACAATTTCATTTAATTCTTTTACTCATTTGACCACATTAATATTTGTCGAATTTGCAGAGAGATTCTGCAGAACCAGTCAGATGAGTTTCCTGTGGAACAATGCCTCACAACACATAACATAGCAAGGGTCAGTATCTGTTAACAGATAAGAACAAATAGTTTTGATAATTATGGTGTGATGGAATAAGCCCATCACACCATACTATACGTCAAAAGCTCAGAGTACGTGCTGGGTTTCCTTTAGCAAACCTGATTTATGGAATCTCACATATTTGAACAGAAAATGTTTATCATTTAAGGAATTAGCTCTTTGCCATTTGCCAGAGTCTCAGCCTGATCTGTTACCACAGATTTTGTCCGCAAGCTGTAGCATCATTTATAGAGAATGACAATCATGTTCAATTTTATTTAATGCATTCATCTGAGAAAAAAATTTACATTTAAGATTTAATGAGGAAGTTTACTCTGTAAAAGTCTAAAGAATCATCATGATAGTTAGATTGTTGTGTTACCATGTCTACAGTATGGTGTAATCTTTGTGTTTGAATTGGGTTTGTTCACAAATACATCACAGCAAATAACCAGTAATTAGTGATTGATTTAAACTCGGCCAATAAACCTGGTCTCCCTCTCTCAGATTCACCTTATCTATATTTAAACATGTTAGTGATGCTGAGGTTCTTAGTAGGAAGGATTTCGGGGTGGGTTTCTGTGTAAGGCCTCATATTATCTTGGGCCGGCCCTGCATGAACAGCCACTGCGATGCACATCTCTACCTGGAATCCCCCTGTGGCCCCTATGTCAGATGCTTTAGGGACATTTTGATTCATTTAATTGTGGCATGTTTGACTTTATGCTGCGGTTCTGATTATTGCTCCAGTATTTTCTCTGATGTTTATTTTGTGAACTCTAAATGCTCTGCCCCGAATCTTCCTTTAACACTTGAGGTTCTGCAATAACTTCTATTTACAGTCACTCACCTCCAGCCCAGATCCCCTCAGCAGCAGCTTTAACCCGCCTGGTAGAAACGTTAAGGAGAAGCAGAGCGAACAGACAGCAGGTGGTACCGGGTGGTACTGGATGGTGCCGGGTGGTACTGGATGGTACCGGGTGGTACTGGATGGTGCTTGGGCTTTGAGGTGCTTCTTGACTCGCGGTTACAGGTGGTACCTTGTCTTACATCAGGATGTCTGATATAAAGACAGACATTGTTTCTATCTGTCGGTGGGACCGACTCAGACCGCCTGTAGAACCGGGCCTTTAGCAGAATGATAAAGTTAAAGTCAGAAGTTTCTCTGCAGCTGAAGCTATTCTGTGTTTAGGGGTGAGGCGGGTTTTGTCCCATTAATGCAAAGACAATAATAAAAATATAAATAGAAACAGTTTTTCTAACGTCAACATCAGATCTACGGTTTTATTCACAAACTAGTGTATGAAAAAAATATTCTTGCCCATAATTTGATAGTTAAAGGGCACAGCCTTGGACCGGGTGTCTGAACAACATGGAGGCAGAAACAGAGAATGATAGTAGGGGCAGGAGACCCCTCCACCCCACCCTTCCTGCACGTGCTTGTTTCTGTGTTTCCGACTGGTCTGCCAGTCCGTCTACCAGAGTACATGAACTCTGTCCTTTTCTTCCTGTGTGTTTGTTCTTCCAGATACTGAAGCCAGAGGAAGACAGCACGTCCACTCAGCGCTACATCGACTCTCGGACCGTCCAGCTGAGAGCTAAAGGAGCCTGGCTCTCCTTGGATGTCACAGAAACAATCAAAGACTGGGTGTCAGATCCAGGTGAGCTTCATGCCGCTTATGATGCAAACATGTGTTTGTGTGGTTCATCTTCATGTTTCCTTCTACCGCGTTCTTCTTCAGAAAACAATCTTGGCCTGAAGCTGGGCGTCCACTGTCCCTGCTGCACCTTTGTCCCATCCACCAACAACATCGTCCCTAACAAGAGCGAGGAGCTGGAGGCGCTGTTCGCTGGTTCGTTCTCATGTCTTGGCTTCAGATTAATTATGCGTTTTGGGTTCAGCCTGTTGAGCAGGACTGCTGCCTTTTTTGTGGGCTGCACATTGTTTATTTAGATGTTGACTGTTTATACATGACCATTATTTGCATGTGGAAATAAACAGCTTGGAGAACCGCAGAGCACAAAGGGAGCAAACTTAAACCTCTGCTGCATCGCTTTGAAAGTGAGAAATGCAGCTTTGCAGATTTATTATGGTGCCATCCATCTTCCAGATCATGAGCTGTGAACTCAAAGAGGAGAATATTATGCAAGAAGCTTTAAAAAGCATCCATGAATCACTTACTCACTATCGTGCAGGAATAAATGCGAAACTGTTCCTCCGCACACTGAGATACTGTTTAATTCCAGACTGTCTGTGTTGCCTCATGTAGGCCCTCAAATTATGGCGCTCAGAGGATTTGCACTCAGCTCTGCCAAGTCTGAATTTTTTTTTTTTCTCACACTCGGAAAAAAAAAAAAGCAATTTGTGATACTCGGAAGACAAGCAGGGGCTTGTGTTTGTGCTCCCGTGGTTCAAAAAGAGACAGTAAAATCAAAAAGTCAGACAAACTGTCAGGTCGTCAGTGCTGGATTTTGTTTTTTTATGCAGAACATCTGTATCACATTCCTTTATGGTTCGTTTACTCCTTAAAAAATGTCAAAACCTGGATAATAAGTTTTTTCTTTTGCCTTCCTCAGAAGCACAAAGTCATTGGAGAAAGAAAAGCACAGCTGCAGCATTTGTCTGCGTTCATAATCATAGAGAAACACTTTGCACCTAGATGTTATCATTTGTACATATTTTAGTGGTACGGTCACTAAAAGTGAACCCAGTGACAAATTGCGCATGCTTAGTTGCAAAAGCATTTTAAATCACTCAACTTCTATATTTTTATTTTCATGTTTATACTGTAAAAAGGAAAACAAAATGCTATATTTTAAAAGGATTTAGTGTTTGTATGGCAAGTGTTTATATATTTTGTAGAAGCCTCTGAGGTCTGTCAGAGAACATTAGTAAACAAACAATGAACACAACCAAACTTCTGTTAAAACGAACACAGCATGTTTCCTGGCCTGATAAAAAAAATCCCTACTCTAAAACACGGTGGAGGCAGCACCATGCTGTGGAAATGCTTTTGCTTGAGCAATTAATGAAGAAACCTGTCAGAGGCAGCAAAAACCTGAGAGTGAAGCGAAGGTCCGTTTTCCAGCAGGGGAACAACCCGAACCGTACATCCAGAATGGCCTAGTTAAAGTATAAACCTAAACTTCAAATGACAATTTGCGGTTCAGCTTGTTATGCTTTAGCTATCTCAATTAAAACACGTAAAGCTGCATGTGGAACGAGAAGCGACTCAAAGGGGGTAGATACATGTGCATGCCACACTTTTCAGATTTTTATGTGTAAAAACTTTTGCAAATTGTTATTTCGATTTATGACATAAAATCAAAATAATAAAGTATTTTTGATCTGAATGGGAGTGAATTTCAGCAGAGCTGGTGGTTGTTTATCTGACCGCCTCGTCGCTCTCTGTAGGTGTGGATGACGAGCGCCTTCGTCAGATGAGGAAGCCCGGTCAGGTCAAAGGCCAGCCGGATTTCAGCACCAAGACGCCGCACCTCATCCTCACCCTGCTGCCAAGCGACCGAGTGGACAACCCGGCCAAGAAGAACCGTAAGCGCCGGGCGGCAGCCACAGAAACCTCAACCTGCTCCCGGTAGGCCCCCTTCCAGCCGCTCGTGTGCGGGTTTCTCTCTCTGACTGACAGCTCTGACACTCCTCCACTGTCTTCAGTTTGGTCATTTTGAAGAATAGCTGCGGTGGATGGCATATTTCTTTTTTTTTCCCTCCTGACCCACTTTGCAGAGTATTGTGTGGCAACCCTAACAGCCCTGACCCTGTGTTTAGAGAGCAGGCCGACGGGTGTGCAGCGTTTTATTTAGACTACCTCATGCTGCAGGAGAAAACTCTGGCAGCCCTGCATGCTCATTACTTTGTGATGGCGGTAACCTGTTGTAATTTTCCCATGACCCAGACACTGCAGAGCGGGATGGAAAGCTGAAAAGTCACTTTGTGTGTTTGCCTTTGTGTTTCCTAGAGGGTCGAATCAGGGCTGCTGCCTGCGCTCGCTCTACATCGACTTCAGGCGGGACCTCAACTGGAAGTGGATCCATGAGCCAAAAGGTTACAAAGCCAATTTCTGTGCTGGTAACTGTCCGTACCTCTGGAGCGCCAACAACCACTACAACATGGTGGGTTTCAGTGATCAAGTGCTAAAATAATGTGTGACTGGAGCTGAACAATATCGCTGGTTTGTGAAGAATAGACTCTTAAGATCAGTGGAGATGCACCGATCTGGGATTTTGTTACTATTTTGTGATCACAAATCCTGTAAAATCTAAATGTTTGTATTTTCTTGTTGAATGTAAGCCTAATTTTAAAAGTAGACGGGGTGTAAAACTGGGAGCTGGTTACACAGAAGAGGAATTTGATAACTAAAGGATCTGCCTCCACTTTTAAAAACTGTAGGAACTAGAAGCAAACCTGCAGGCTGAGAAATAAGGGTTTTGCTAGGAACATCTGGACCAATTAGATCTCTGATGAATGATCAGAACAGGACCAATAATTCAGGGCATCTGAAAACATCAGATTTATTATTCTTTGAGCAACACAATGCATTCTTCCTTCAAACTCCAAACACTCTGAGATGCCTCACTAAAAATATAAATCAATAGCAATTTATATGGCAATATAAACACATGATCAATATCAGTAGATAATATGTCTGATAAAATATTCAATATTCAGACTATTCACTGAACTCTGATCCAGAAATGCACAGCATTCTGAGTGATGTAGGCAGAGGAAAGACTTTCACGGCCAGCTCCGCAAAGCTGGTGGAAATAACCCACTCGCTCACTCTCTGGTTACCTAGTTTTGGTGCACAGCATTATCTGCTCACATTTGGTAAATACAAGATAAAAACATACCAGTAAGTGGATGTAAAACCATCCCAGAACGTCAGACTGACGTTTCTTAGGTGCTTTGTTTTGCTTATTTCAGCAAGATTCTCTCAAAAACCTAAATCTCTTTCTGCACGTATTAAAACCGGGTGTCCCTGTAGTAAAGGACTCCAGCTGGTTCTGTAATCTGTCTGCGGTTCTGACATGTCGACCACCGAACACATTTGGCTCACAAATTGATCCGTTCAGCAGCTGAAATCATTTATCAAGAAACGATGGGAAAACATTTAACTCTCAAAACTACATTTGGCTTCAGTCCGAACACCAACAGTGTTATAAAAATATCTCATGCAACAAGGAGGAAAAAATGCTCCTTTCCTAACTTTCCTGCAGTTTCTACATCCAACTTGTGGTTTTTCTGCTGTTTTCTATTGACTAATAGACTCAGACCTTCAAATCGCTGCATTCTTATTTCGTTTTGGTTTTTTTTTTTTTGTGCCAATTATTATGGAATGAAGATTGTCGACAACCTTTTCCAGCAAGGCCAAGTGAAGACAAATGAGTTCTTTTTTTCCAAATTATATTTCCCTCCAATGTGAAGATTCATGGCCTCTCGTGCTAAATAATTTTCTCTGGAAACACTGACAGACATGTCAGTGGACACTCAGCCAAATTATATAAACAGAAACATCTGCGATTGTCAAGAAAAATCTGAGCGGTCTCTGGTGAAACGGACCCCTGCCTGATCCAAGCTCAGCTCTCTGCCCAACTTTAATACATGGATGGTTTGAAGTGTGGGAAATGTTTTTCTCCTAAATGATCTTTGTTTGTGGTGGCTAGCAGCTCAGTTAGCTGAGGCTGGTTCAACCCTGAGTCATGAATGGCTGCCACACAGCGTACAAGCTGTTCGTCCATCTGTCCACCCATCCGTCCGTCCGTCCATACATACATACATACATTTATAAATCTATCTATTTATCCATTCAGTCTGATTTTTTAATCCAAGTTACATTTTAAATTTCTAACATTTTATTGTTAGCCTTTATATTTCTGCTCACAAGCTTATCAGTAAACATAGAGATGATCCATTTGAGAAGCCAGCATCACTGTGACATCCCCCAGATAAAGACGTTTCATGACAGATTTTCTGGTGCTAAATAATAAACCTGGTTTTAAATGGCTGATCTTGCAGCTGAACCCACCAGCAGAACACAGTAGTCGCTTGAGGAAAACGAGGAGGGAGTCTGAGCCAGCAGAGGATCTCCAGAGAGACTCCCAACTGGCTTCACATCCACATTCCTCATTCAGACCGATTAAACTTTTACATTTTTTGCCAAGAAGAACGGTGAAACGTTTCAGAAGAAAAATGTGCCACTTGTAGGATAATTCCCTGAAATATCTGGAGCTGCCAGAAAGGCTTTAATAAAATAAAGAGTCTAAATAGTGATCCATTGGTTTAACTCGGTTCTTATTTTGAGACTGCAGAGTTGCATGTGGATTTATTAGGATAAGTCCAGAAACTTTCCACCAGGACTGTATTGTCGACTGTCTTCTGGCTGCTGTTTTGTTTTTACCATAAAAATGTGAGAATGGCATCAAGTTTTCTTATATAACTCTTATTTCCCACAAAGTCAAACCATGCTTTAGTTGCCTGGCGATGTAAGAAAAACAACTCCACAACTCTTGTATAACAACCAAAGTCCTCAGCCAAAACCCTTGCTGAGGCAGGATCTCATCGTTCTCAGAAGAAAGAATGATTTTTGTGGTATTTAATAAAAAGTCTTCTCCTGTCTCTGCTCTGGTCAGATCCTGCCGCTGTACAACAAGCTGAACCCGGAGGCCTCCGCCTCCCCCTGCTGCGTCCCTCAGGAACTGGAGCCCCTCACTATCATGTACTACGTCGGCCGCACGCCTCGAGTCGAGCAGCTCTCCAACATGGTGGTCAAATCCTGCAAGTGTCGCTGATAAAAGCAGAGGAGGACTCTGCAAACTGAGATGGATCCTTCCTGACAGACTGAATCAGACGTCAGGATCTTTTTTTTTGTTCCTCACCGTCATGCTTCACTCTCTGGAACTTTCCGTTTGACGTTGGACCCTGTAAATATGACTACATAGGTTTATTAAATGTGTGTTTCTGTATATTAAAACTCAGAAAAGCCTTTGTTTTTCCATCAGCACCGAGCTTCAGTGGTAGCCACACCCAGACGTGTTTGTTCTAGGCTTCAAGGTGTTAATTTAAAGCCGGCGGCGTGGCAGTGAGGTGAAGCCTCGCAGACTCTGCAGAGATGAAAAAGCGAAGGAGGGCAGGGAGCAGATAGGAAAGAGAAGCAGGAGCCGCGTCCAGGCGGGGGCCCTGCCAGCTCTCTGCGGTCCCCAGGCTGAAATCTGCCCGCCGTAAACAGGATGTGAAAGGTTTCCAGACACCGACCCGACCACTCACGGAACGCCAGATTTAAACGCTCCCCTCGTCTCCTCTCCTTCTCTCCCTCTTTCTCTGTGCATCGCTCGAGGTTCTGGGATTTGTGGTGGGAGGAGAGAGGGAGAAAAGAGAGGCTTTGAAAAGGAGACGTGGGATGATAGGGCCGCATTTGGAACGGCTACACGTTTGGAAGGTGGTATTTTGCAGCCGTGGCAAATTTGTAACTATTCAGGCCTGGTGCATGAGTCTCATAATCACACTCCCTTTTTATTTCATCGTGTGATCATTATTTTATTATAAGGGGGTGGGCTTCCTGTTCTCTTGATCTTATTCTGTGACACTTTTTGTTTTCCAAACTCCTCCCTGATTCTCTGTGCACCCAATCATCCACACTGACCACTGTTGATTAAATATCTAAATGCTGGAAATAAAAGAAAAAAACCCAAAAACATCTCTGGGTCTGATTGACTGATTTTAAATATAGGCTCTCTGGTATGCCAGTGGTTTGTGTGTGAGGAGACAGTGTGTGTGTGTATATGTGTGTGTGTGTGTGGGAGGGGTGGGGGTGGAAATCGTGTGATTCTTGTAGTTTTACTGTGATTGTCCGTACAGCAAGATTAGTTTCTGTCCCGGCTGACGATAAAGGGACAGGAAGCAGTTCAATCATGGCAAAACACCAGGCTGCCACAGCAGCAGCCAGTTATAGATGAATTAGGCGGTTTGCGTTGAGTCCGACCACGGCCACAGGAAGTGCTGGTTTTCAGCTGGATGGCTGTGAAATTGTGTAAGTGGATATGTCCAACATTATTCTGGTCAACACTTTGTGCAACAGCTTTCCTAAATGCGAGATTTAGAAACTGATCCACACAAATAGGAAACCAGCCAAGCTTTTCGGAGGTGGAGTTCCAGCCAGAAGTTTACATACACTCATCCTCCGTTACTTTTGGGAAGTTTAACTATCTGAACTGGTCTTTTTTTACTGGGTAGAAGTATTATTGAACAAATTTACTGACTCAAAGAGACTGTAGGGCTTTTTAAAACCATCAACAAGGCAGAGGTGGGGCCTCTAGTCATTAATATTAAGACTTTAGATTTGACTTGAAAAATTGTTCAGACTTGGGCTAGATTTGACTTTTACACCATTGACATGGGACTTGAGTGTTTACTTGAGAAACGTGATATTTTACCCAAAATCTAACGTTAAAAACACATATTATTAAGTGGGCCCCATTAATTAATTTCACTCATTCCTTATTAACAGAGCTGACGTAAGCTGCAGCACAACCAATCAAATTAACAATATTTAATAAATTAAAAATCGGGTGAAAAAAGCCACAGACAAATGTCTTTTGAGTAAATCAACAATAAAGTATTAAAAAAAAGCAGAGTGCAAAATGCAAAACCTGCTTGAAGAGGATCTCAGATTGAGATGCAACAATGTCAACATTTGGTATTTGAAGTTGCACAAAGAACAGGAGGTGGAAGCTACTTTTCTTTAGCTTAGGCTTTAGCTATTTCCTTGTTGTTAGCGAGTGTACTCTGTGCCATGTTGATGACACATCTTAGTGTTCACTTATATTTTATGCTGTCATAAATCCAGTCCTTCAAACGCATCCACAAATAATGCAGCTAGAGAGCGGGGTCCCATGTTCTGTGCCTGAACTGTGCAAGATGGAGGTGGTGTTTTTATGCTTGGTGTACAGCTGCTCAAATTAGGTTTTAGATAAATACAGATTTTAAAAAGAACACATAATTTAATATTTACATCTAGTATACAACTGCAACATTGTCAAAAAACAAACAAACAAAAAAAAAAACTCAAAGGGACTTGAAATTCCAAGTTTCAGACTTTGGGCTTGACTCGACTTTTTCAAGTCTTTGCTTGAGAGTTGATCAGGACTTCAGGATAAACTTGAGGCTGACTTGAGACTTGCAAAACACCGACTTGGTCCCACCTCTGCAATCAGATCCCAGTCTTATTTGTTTTTTAATCGGAAACGGCTTTTAAAGGTGTTGACTAATGTTTTCACCGCAGTTTCATTTCAGTTCAATGCAATTTTAAAAGCACTTGTCGCAGAAGTGATGTTTTTTTTATAATTTGACTCGTTCGGCTCCTTAGCGTTGTGAATGCAGCAGTTTGTCTGTTTCAACATCGAAGGACACATTCAAGATGCCTCTGAAGCTAAAATAGTTTAAAGAGGTACAAACTGTTTTTGCAGCCGTAGCAGTAAACTTGTTTGTCTGAGCCGCAGCAAAGCTACGTTTTCACTGTATATAAATGCGTCTCATGTGTTGGGGTGTCAGGACTTCAGCTGTGGTGAGGCTCCTTCTTCCCCCCAGCATCTGTTAGTCCTTTCCACTTAACTACCCCTTGTTATGTCCAACCTGTACTTATCCCACGATAGAGCTCCTTGCTGTTTGCTCTCACACTGGAACCTTGTCTATGAGAGGCACACACACTCTGGTTGTTGACCCTTGCTTTCTCACGCACACCCTTTTTTCTTAAAAAAAAAAAAAAAAAAGGAGCCATATTTGAATGTGTGTAGACCCCCGGGGCATAGAGAGCCCTCTCATACATGCAAAACATACAGACGCCATGATTCATGGTCCTGGTTCATCACACATTCACTCACACTGACTGAAAATGTAAAGACAGCCTTTGACAGAAGCTGTAAAACAGAACAGAAGGCAATTCTTCCTTACATGCACCTCATGACCTCACAGTGCAGCTTTTGGATCAGAGTCCCAACTGAAGTCATTTCTACTTTTTCGGGCAGCTAAATTCAATATACAACTTCTCGGGGCAACGGCGCGCACCATAAAAGCCAACTGAGGTTTATACAAGCTGCAGAGGAGGATTGAGGTTCAGATATGGATCTGCAGCCTCAGGATTATTAAAACCTTTGAGGAGTTGCTAGAGAAGTGGAGCGGAGGGCCTGTTAAAGCCCCTCTGTTCCACAGAGGAGGGTGTGATACCTGTAATTGAACTCCATATATGAAGAAAAGGCTGAGTCAGTTTAAGGAGAGATGTAGATTAATTTACATACAGGTAATCTGATGCTAAATCTGAGAAATACTCAGATTATTCAGCAACATGTCCATTATAGTGATGCAAACTTCTGCTTCTCTCTAAACCTTTTCTATTTATCTTCGTCAAAAAGTATTACATTAAATTTTTCACATTTTGTCTGATTCGAACCCAGCACTCCTATCCATTTTATCTAGTTTATTTAATAGTTTTTCTGCATAATTGTGAAATAAAATAAAATCCTACACATTTTAAAATTCTGAAAAGAGTGTGCATTTGTATTCAACTCACTTTATTCTCAAATCTCTAAATAAAATCAGTTTTCTTCAGAGTAAAATTAGGCAAACAAACAGCGTTATGTCGGCCCCACTGATCATGCTGTGGGTTATTTTTCTCTTGCAGGAAGAAGCAAGACACGAGTTAATGCAAGCATGAACGGCTCTAAAGCAATCCTGTTGAAAACACAAGGGGACAGTTTGGACGACAGCAAATTGATGTGTCGGAATGGCCTAGCCAAAGTCCAGACCTAGATTTGATCAATAAATCAAATCTAGGTAAATCAAAAAGTGGCTCCACAAAGTATTGACTCATTGGTGAAATCCTATTAAAATACTTTAAGGTTTGTGATTACACTGTGATTCAATGCGAATGCCAACTCAAGACGTGAAGACTTTACACTAGACAGGATCTCTATCCTGTTATCGCTGTAATAAGTGTTTTTCTCCATTTGTTCTCTTTGTTTATGCTTGTCAATTTTTCCTGTGCTCTCACCTTCTCGCTGGTCAAACACTCCTTCCTGAGTTTTGTTTTCCTTCCTGCTTTGGAAGAAACTTTGGGACAAACGTTAGAACTGAAATATGATTCAGAACAAGCTACTGGTTTCATTAAGGAGACACCTTCGCTATAGTTGTCCACACTGAATTTAATTTATTAAACTATACAAAATAAACCCTTAATGCATTTTAAAACAGTTTAAAGTTCTTATACAAGTTATAATTTTGTATTAGAGTTCTGGAAAAAATAAAGAGACCGCTGGACTGAAAACTGTCTGGTTATTCCACCTAGTATTGATTTCTGAACTCTTCCTGAGTTCAAACATTAATGCTGTTGTTTCTTTGTTTCATGCACAAACAAAGATGCTTGGATTCCTCCTCCTGATGCGGACTCTCACCCTCAACCCAGTGGGAAGAGTTTACCTTGAACCCTGGCCCTTGACTTTGTTAAATTTAGTAAACTGATGTCTTTAAAACGTTCTGTTTGTTGAGCATTAAATTTTAACACTTTGCAATTTGCAAATAGTGTTATTTACTCCCACAAAGAAAGTCTAAAAATGAAACCGGTTTGAGATTACAAACCCAGACGCAGTAAAAACAGCCTGAGGAGTCACAGCGACTGAACTGCTGATGCATCGCACTTGGCCCACCACCTTCCTCTCTTTCTCGCCTTCTGTCAACAAAGTACAAAATCTGCGGGAGCCTGGATCTGAGCACGGCCTCAGTCTGTTACTTATTTTGGCCCCAGACGAGGGCTTAATGCCACGATATCTTTGTGAACTAGATCTTGACTCTGAGTATGCAGGAACTGACTGTTTACCCCTCATTTACCAAGAAATGAGCTCACTCAGGTCTCAGGGTGCAGATCATTACGCATCTTCTGCTTCACAGAGCATCCGCAATTCTCTACTGGTTTTATATGCTTTGCTGCACATATTTAACATTTTTGAGGGTTCAAAATGTACTTGTTGCATTTTTCATCCCACTGGTGGACCCGTGTTTTATTTTAGCTCAAGATTTTGAGACCAGAACTCAAGCATCTTCTCTTACGACTTTTAGGTCAAGAAAAAGAAACATAATAAAAACAAATCAGATCTTACAAAAGCCGCTATAAGAGAGCCGTAGACGTTTGGATGAGGAACTTTATGACTGACCAAAACTGTAGACGGAACCAAAATTAAATATTTTAAATATATGCTCCATAATGAGCCTTATGATGTCACTATAAGTCTTGATGTTTTAGAGAACGCTGCTGAAAGTCATGGCAAACATAAATAACTGGTGAATATGCAATAAAAAACAAAACAAATGTAAAAGATGTTAAAAATGAAGCTGACTTTGAAACATCTCATAGAAGTTGGTACACATTAAATCTAGTAAAACCTTGAGGTTTCCTTGTTTTTTTTAGGACGTCCATTCATACTTTATCCCTTTTTTTCCTGTTTTTCTCCAGTTGAAAATTTTTTGGCCAAAATATGAAACAGTCCTCCACTGTGAGGTGGTAATTCAGTGATTATTTTGGGGAGCTTTCACAACACTGGGTAGATTTTATGGCTTTTACTATTTTGATTCTTTAAAATATTCATGAGTGGTTTCAAGAAATTGAAACCCCCTGTTTCCTTTATCCCTTATATGACTTTAAAACCTCAG